CACCTGTCCACCACCAGTCCACCAACTGTCCATCTGTCCACCAACTCTCCACCAACTGTCCACCACCTGTCCACCACCAGTCCACCAACTGTCCATCTGTCCACCAACTCTCCACCAACTGTCCACCACCTGTCCACCACCAGTCCACCAACTGTCCATCTGTCCACCAACTCTCCACCAACTGTCCACCACCTGTCCACCAACTGTCCACCATCTGTCCACCACCAGTCCACCAACTGTCCACCACCTGTCCACCACCAGTCCACCAACTGTCCATCTGTCCACCAACTCTCCACCAACTGTCCACCACCTGTCCACCAACTGTCCACCATCTGTCCACCACCAGTCCACCAACTGTCCACCACCTGTCCACCACCAGTCCACCAACTGTCCATCTGTCCACCAACTGTCCATCTGTCCACCATCTGTCCACCAACTGTCCACCAATTGTTTACCACCTGTCCAACTGTCCACCACCTGCCCACCAACTGTCCACCAACAGTTTACCACCTGTCCACCACGTGTCCACCAACTGTCCACCAACTGTCCACCAACAGTTTACCACCTGTCCACCACCTGTCCACCAACTGTCCACCAACTGTCCACCACGTGTCCACTAACAGTCCACCACCTGTCCACTAACAGTCCACCACCTGTCCATCTGTCCACCAACTGTCCACCACGTATCCACCACCAGTCCACCAACTGTCCACCACCTGTCCACCAACTGTCTAACACCTGTCCATCTGTCCACCAACTGTTTACCACCTGTCCACCAACTGTCCACCATCTGTCCACCACCAGTCCACCAACTGTCCATCTGTCCACCAACTGTCCATCTGTCCACCAACTGTCCATCTGTCCACCAACTGTCCATCAACTGTCCATCTGTCCACCAACTGTCCACCATCTGTCCACCAACTGTCCACCAATTGTTTACCACCTGTCCACCAACTGTCCACCAACAGTTTACCACCTGTCCACCACCTGTCCACCAACTGTCCACCACGTGTCCACCAACTGTCCACCAACAGTTTACCACCTGTCCACCACCTGTCCACCAACTGTCCACCACGTGTCCACCACGTGTCCACCAACTGTCCACCAACAGTTT